CGGAACGGCTTGCCCCTGTGTCAACAAGGCAAGTTACCCTTTTCCCTGCTACGGTACATTCTACAAAGGGTCCAGACTGATCAATGGGTAAGACCGGTGAAAGGATGAAGTTACTATCCCTCAGGCAGTCCTAATATTGAGATAAAGAATTTTGGGGAAGAGGCAGGGAGAATTGCTGATGTTGTTGATCTGCAGAGTTTCCTGTTGAAGGGGTAGAGGTATGCGGTCTGTTGGGACATCCTCCTTTCCAATGACCGGTTTGACCACAGTAAAAACAGGAAGAATGGTCAATGGAGGAAACATTCGTCTGCCAGCACCCACGTCCCCTTCCTCGGCCTCATAAATTCCCTTTTCCCCGTCCTCGTCCTCTGGGGTGATAAGTTTGAAGTTGCAAAGCCGTTAACTGGGCTTCATTATTTTCTTTCTTTCTTTCCTGACACGCTAAACAGTGGTTGGCTATTGTAACTAGTTCGTTTAATGGTTTTGTTTGCCAGCCCACACAGATGTTATGCAATTGGTCTCCTAATTTAGGCTGTAGGCCTTGGACAAATGCGGCTGCAATTGCTTCCTGAGCATTTTGGGTAGCTTCATTTATTCCCGAGTGTCTTTCAAAAACTTCTTTGAGTTGGTCTAAATAGTCTGCTGGAGACTCTCTTTTATTCTGTTTACAATTATTAATTTTAGCCCAGTCAGTTTTCTTAGGACATACAACAGATATGGCTTCTAGTAAATGGTGTCGAGCAAGATCTGTCTCATGACTAGGGTCTTGCTGTGGCCAGTCTGCCTCATCTGTTAGGCGTTGTCAGACTTTAGAAGGAAGTACAGCACGTAAAAGTTGGTTCATATCAGACCATGTAGGGTTGTAACAGTTAATAACAGTTTGGAGCTTGTCTTTAAATTTCTGGGGCTTTTCTCTGATGTTAGGAAATTCTTTAACTAGATTTCTTAACTCTCCAGGTGTCCAAGGGGCATGTACCATTACCAAGCCTTGTGCACCTGGTAATTGGCGCAACGGTACTTGAATAATAGTGCCCTTTTTAGGGCGACTATTATTTAAACCTACAGGGGAATATGAGCCTGCAGAAGCGCCCTCCGGACTACAAGGTGGAGTTTCCAATTCAGGTGGAAGGTGTTCGGGGTTAAGGTGGTGGTTGGGCCAAACAAGAAGTACTTTCTAGAATATCTTCTACAGACTCATTCTCGGTCTCGGTCTTATGAGTTAGTTGGGGATATAAAGGGGTAGGAGGTGCTGAGGGAAGATTAGCCTGGCCAGGGCTATATCCGTTTTTCAATTGCTTAATTTCTGCTTTTAGTTTTTCTTGGGAGTCCTTAAGACTCCTTACCCGGGATTCTTGTTGCCTCTTACTACCTTCTTCATACCAGTCAAAATAGACATCCCATTGAGTTTGAGGGTACTTGCTACCTCGTGACTCTAGAACTTTTCAGAGGTGGATCAGTTTATCAAGATCAAAAGTTCCTTCTGAAGGAAGTTGTTTTGGAGGGTTATCCCTGGTATACCAATTCTATTTATTTAAAAACTTACATGACTTTTGACCATAATGCGCATACATATAACCTGCTGGGGTTTCTTTTGGCAGGGTTGGGACATCCTTTGACCCAGAGCCCCCCATCCCTCAATTCACACAGGGCATTCACACAGGGAAGAGGGTAAGGGACTTGATGTGCCAATTTTGAACTGAGGGCAGCGCACAAAGCGACGTCATAACAGTTATTTGGTCACATCAGCCGCCGGTTACCCAGACAGTTTCCGTGGATGGGGAAAGGATAAACTCGTCCGCTGGGTCATGAGGTTCCAGTTGGGCCCCCTTGCTTTCAAGTCTGCCTTTCTAGACAGCCTTGGGGCGGCTAGACCCAGCCTTAGTCTCAGACCTGGTCAGCGGCTCTTTCCTTTCGCACAAGGAAACTTCTGCGCTGAGGCACGGGGTTCAAGAATATTTCTTTAGTCCCAGCCTTGGTCAGCGATACCATGGAAAACTCTCACAATATTCCCCAGGTTTCTATATTCCTTAGTCTAGACTTTTCCTTTTACTCTTTTAATTGTAAACCGGTTTCATACAAACCCTTTAGAGTGTCTGACAAGTTTGTATTTCAAAAGTTCGGATGGTGTAAGCTCGAACTGGTTTCTCCGACCTGTACGGGCAGTCCTCCACCGAAAACCCCTGTAGAGATTTCAAAAGGTCTCTTAACTTGATTTGGCACCTGGGGTTTCAGAGGGGAACGGTCCACAAGCCTGTCGGTACTCACAGCTGGGCGTTGCCACCCGAGTCACGGCACCAAGAATTGTGGAAGAAACAGGCTTCACTCTATTGTTTGGTCACGAAGTTGTCAGAGACCTTTATTTACAAGCAGCTGCAGGGGAGAGCACCGGACAGACAGAACTTCCTCTTATCAGTCCCACATGCCACCCAGACAATTGAAGCAAGCCTTTTATGTTTCAATTCAGGTCACATGACACAAGATATACCAAGTCAAAGAAAAACTGGTTTGAACCAGAAACTTGCAAGAGGGCATAGACTGTGACCTCATAGGTCTACTCAGCTCAACAAGGGAAAAAGGGCGGGAGAAAGAGCAGATTGCAAAATAGACGGGGAAAAAGCAATCATTAGCAAATAGTGCACTAACTCAACAAGTCAGTAGAAATTAAGGCCTGGGGTTTTCTTCTTCCACGCTATCCAGCTTTAATTTGCACATGTAGCAAGGTCTCCCCTGCAGCTGAGGGCATTTTTACACATGCTCTGGGTGTACTGGGTGCTTTAATTAGCGAGCTGTGCTAATTAAAAGCGCCCGTGTGTCATGTATCAGCATCTCTGCACTGCAAAAATAAGCAGCATGGCACTTTGAACTAATGCTCATTGAATGTGTTTTATTTCCAAGCATCCTGCTGTCAGTTTTTCAGCGCAGGGACACTGATGCACGTGATGCAGAAAGCAGCCAGAGCACATCAATTTCCATGACCCAGCAGAATTGTCTCTGATGTGCTGGATTTCCATTGCTTTGGAACAGGCTGCCCACATGTCTATAGGAACTCTGAGATCCCTGTCAGCTCTCAGCTACAGGGGTGCAACACGCCCAGTGCAGGGGTCTGCAACCCCTTGCATGTGTGCCAGAGCATGGCATGTGAGGCCATTTTGCTAGGCACACCACAGCTAGCCTGGGCTCTGGGCAGTTGCCACCAGCCATAGAGCCCAGGCTAATCCCCCCCAGCCATTGAGCCCTGGCTACTGGCTGCAGGCAGCCTGGAGACAGCAAGCCCTGCTGTCAGCAGCTTTGGCTTTGTGGATGGCAGCAGCTGCCCAGAGCCAGGCTGGCTGCAGCCAGGAGGGTGCAACCAGCTGCACTAGGCTTTGGTGTCCCGGCTGGTCACTATGGCAGCAGTGGCTGCATGCACACCTGGGAGCAGTGCAACCCTGGCCCCTCCCCTGCAATCCTCCTGGAGGTGTGCATGCATCTACCACCAGCAGTGAGAATCGGGTCCCTTATAGCTCCCCCATGGTCATCCCCTGGCACTCCAAGTCCAAGTGGGGAAGTTGATGGGTAAGGGTTGGGGTGTTTTTGGCACTCTGGCCAAAAACATTGCCAACCCCTGGCTCAGCGTGAAACTCCCAAGCCTGGAGGATCGCAGTAGTTGTGATCCCCCAGGCTGGGGGTTTCACCCCCAGGCATGGGGATTGTTGCTGCCATGATCCCACAGCCCGGGGTGGGGCGGGGTGTCCTCGTGGCTGGGAGCCCCTCAGACTGGGGTGTGTAGGGCTGTCAGCCACAGGAGCCTGCTTCTTGCCCCGATCCTAGGTAATAAGGCGCGATGAGATCTAATGCGTGATCCCACAATCATGCCTCCTGCTATGCACGTGGCATGGCAGGAGGCACGATTGTCTTGATTGCGCATTAGATTCCATTGCACTTTTGTCCGCATGTGTAGTGGGAGCTTTAGATCCTCAGGCTGAACACAGCAATTAGTCATGATTTCAGTAAGGGATCTACCAGGAACAGCAAGGGGACTCATGAAACAACACCAGTGACTTCAGAACGAAGCAAGAGGCAAGGATTTATTCAGGTAATACCTTTAATAGGACCAGCTGCATAGTTGGAATGGAGTTAGATAAGCTTTGGAGGGCAAGACGCTCATTGCTGGCACTGAGCAGCATTAGGATCAGAAGTGGAGCCATTCTCCCACAGGCAGTGAAGTAGCTAGTTTAATTGATCTTCCAGAGGAGCTCTGACTAGAAGTGGGCAAACTGTGGGCTGAATAGTGAATAGGCTGCAGATGTAGTTTGGAATCAACTTGAACTCTTCATACATCCTGCTAGAGATGGTGAACGGTGTTAGCCAGAAACATCCTCGCCCCTTTAGGGGAGGAAACTGATCTGTGCCTAGTACGTGTTTTGTGCCCGAGCGGGCAGGGCTGCCGGAAGAGAGCTGCTGCCAGCCTCCTTGATAATAACTGCGCCTCTGGGAGGCCCATAGGGACAAGATGAGGGGACAGAGCACGGCCCAAGCCCCTCATGGCCCTTTCCAAAGGTGCCTTGTGTGGAGGCACCTTCTTGCAGGGCACCGGGGTCTGTCTGGAGCAGCAGAGGTGGGGGAAGTGGGGAAGTTGATGCCGTCGGGTCCGGGGAGGTGGTAGCTTATGCTCTGCGTGTGTGTGTGTGTGTGTGTGTGGCGGAGGGAGGAAGTGCTGCCGTGTGTGTGCGTGCAAGTTGATGCTGTGTATGGGGGGGGAGATGTGCCCCATGTGTGCGTGCGTGCAAGTTGATACTGCGTGTGTGGGGAAGCTTCGCGTGTGGCGGTTGCCGGCTGCCCCACCGTCCCCGCTCCCCCAACGCTGAGGCTGCAGCTGGCCGCAAGCTCACCCCAGCCTCAGCTACCGGGACGAACCCCCGGGCTCTGTCCCCCGCCCTGAGTGACTCCCGCCCGGCCCAATCCGCGAGAACCCTGCCCCCCGTGGGGGAGGTACTTGGGCCGAGGCCTGACGTCAGCGCCCGCCCTGTGGCGGCCTGGCTCGCGGGCGCGGCGCGGACGCCAGGGCTGGGCGGCGGTGGCAGCAGCAAGTAGAAGTAGAAGTAGAAGTAAAAGTAGAAGTTCCGCCGCGGCCCCGCGCGCAGGTAAGCGGCTCTGGGGGGTGCCCCCTTCCTAGCCTGCGGGCCCCAGCTGCGCCCGCCGCTCGCCCCCTCGGTGCAAAGTGCCCCCCGCACCTCCAGCCCGGGCTTTGTCTCCCTCGGGCTTAAAAACCTCCAGGGCTGCAGATCCCGACTGCTCGGTTTCCATATACGCCCAGGAGGTGCTGAGGTGAGCTGTGCTTCCCCCTCCCCCCACGGTAGCGGAGCCAGCTCCTCTCCTGCCGGAAAAATTTTTCCTGCCTCCGACTTCCTCCGCGGCTCCTTCTTGCACTGAGTCCCCCGCGCCTGGTAGCCCGGAGGGGGCTGCTTGTCCTTGGCCTGGGGCGGGAAGGGAAGGCAGCAGCGCAGATAGCTCTCAGGACGGTGGCTACTGCTTAGTGGGGAAGCGGGGAGGCTCCACCCTCTGACACCACCCCCAAAAAATGGGGATGTGGTTTTTCTGCCTGGTGCAGGCTGGCAGGGAGTGAGCCTTTTCCGGCCTTGTGAAACACCTGCACATGTTCCTCTGGGCTTGGCTTTTGCCTCTTTGGAGATGGATCCTCTTGGAGATTTGCCTCTTTGGAGGTGGTGAAGTCCTAGAGAAGCAGGGCTAGCAGGGACCTCCAGGGACGTTGAGGGGGATGAAGCAAGTGCTGGTGTGTTGGGGAGTGTGAGGGCCGGATGGCTAGTTATAGAGTGGTCTGTGGCAATAAGATCGTGGGTGCCTGAAGGTAAGGATGTTCATAGCTTATGTGGTAGGCTGTTTGAGCTCGAGCACTGCTGCTGCAGCCAGCGTCATTGGAAAGGCCCCAAGAGCACAGGTTTGCCTTAAATTGTCTAACGCTCATTCTGAGATGGCTAAGAAACATCCAGGTCCTGCCTGGAGGTCACCTAGGGCAGTGGTTCTCGACCTCTTTTGTAGCAGGACCCATTTGTAAACATCCATGGCCAGTTCTGACCCAGTGCCCCTCACTCCTGACCCGCTGCTCCCAGGCCCCAGCTCCCCAGTGTGTGGGGCAGGTGGGGGCCCCAAGCATCCCCTCGCAGGCTGGAACTCTGCCAGCCTGAAAGGAATACCCACAGTTTCCCACATTTTCCTCCTTTAAAGGAAAATCCATTTTTAAAGTTTCTTGGCGACCCTTTCATATATTCTTGTGACCCACTTTTGGGTTGCTACCCACAGGTTGAGAAATGCTGATCTAGTGCAACCCTGTGCCTGAGGCAGGATCAGCCCTATCCAAAACGTCCCATACAATCCGTAACAAGACTACTGTCAACCCTGGTACAATGTAGATCAAACACCCTAACCAGCTACAGGTAAAGCAGAGGGAACATGGCAGCCAATGTCCTGCTTCTATTAAATGTTGGTTTCAGTATACACTCAACAGGCACAGCTATGCCCCCTGCTACAGAGGAAGGCAAGAACCCCCCAGTCTGTAGTAATCTGGCCATGGAGGCAAAATTCCTTTCTGACTCCAGATGTGGCAGTCAGTCTGACCCTGAGCAGAGGCAAGACCCTCTAGCCAGAACCCCTGGCTTCAGTCCCAGCAGGAGTATTACACCCCAGGCAAAGTTCCCAGACTTGGTTGTAGCCAACACCCAATGCCTCTGGGAAGGCTTAAAAACACCCTGACACATTAAACAGTCAGTTTTTGTGAAAGGCTGTTGTATGTGTATTTGCAGGCCATTCCTTCCCCATCAGCCTGAGTTTGAGCACAGTTCCATGAATCACATTTCCAGTGCCAGTTGCTTGTTCTTAAAGGAAAGTAACTCCCTATCATCTCTGCTTCTGCCAGTTCCACGAGGGAGCTGGAATCTGTTTTGCCATGAATAAGTCCCGAGTTGGCCCCCAGATTCCTGGCACCAATGTGGTGTATATAGAATGGTTCCCTCCCTAGCAGTCAGGAATGAAAATGAGATGCGATTTATTTTCAGTTCAGCATGCTCTGGATGAGCAGGGGAGGAAGGCAAACAGGTGATGACAACATTTAGATGTCGCCAACTCTGTTTGCTAAATGACTGCTTCTTAATAGGCTCTAAGTCTGAAGTTGATTAGAAAGGGCTAATTATAAGTGTGCCATACATCTTTTGCTAGAAGATGATTAACTGCTTTATGACTGGAGGGATGAGTGTGGATCTGTATTTAAAAGACTGCCAGGCTGTGGGCACCAGCATGTATTTTTAGAAAGTCACAAGCTGGGGTATTGCACAGCTTTTAGGAAGGGGGTGGGAAGTCAGCTTGGGTTAAGCTCTCTTGTATTTTCAGGATTCAGTAGGACTCCCCAAGTTAGAGGCATCATGAAATTAAAATATTCAGTGCCCCTTGAGCTGTTTCTTTATCATCATGTTTGCACTGGCATAATTAATTTGGTAATTTGGCTCTATTTATTTTTTTTCTGAAATAGTTTTACTAGTGTGTATGCTTGCCCCAGTGTATACACAGTATAGTTGAAATGGTACAGCTCTTGTGCAAAGGCACATATCTGTGTTCAAGAGTCATGGCCCAGTTATCTAGGGAGCCTTCAAAGATTTTGCTGGTTCTTTTTGTTTTAGACCAAATCATGATTTCAGAAGTAAAACATGTGAATTATCTGTCATGGCATGCACTGAACTGTCAGCAGGGTTGAGCAAAACAAGTGCCTGCATTCCGAAAAAAAACGAAACAATAAAAATGGGTCATTCCAAGTGTAAAATTTTTCATGCTTAAATGATCAGATAGCTGACAGTAAGATGTCTTGGTGTGCCAGACCCAGATTTATTGCTTCTATTACAGGCAACAGTCATAGCTTAAGGATGTACATTTTGGAAGGACAAATAACACTTCTATTTTATTTATTTTTTGGTAACATCATGGGTGTAGAGTTCAGTAAAACCAACACATGCAATGAGGCAGCACTGTCTTGGGTTTGAGCACTGGATTTGGAACCAGGAGAGCTGGGTTCTCTTTCCTGCTCCTGACTTGACTTAAACTCACTGCCTCCTTTCTCTGTCTCTGGACTGTAGATGACAATGCTTCATGTGTGTGTCGCAGGGCTCAGTCTCTATAGAAACATGCTTAAACATACTTTTCTAAAAAAGCTCTATAGCATGGGTGACATTATCAGTTAATCAGCTTAATAAAAAAAAAATGGGTTCATTTAGCTCAGGGATGGGCAAAATACGGCCCACAGTCTGGACCTGGTCTGCTGACTGATGGGATCTAGGGCTGTGTGAAGTTTCGGTCCCTGATTTGATTTGGCAGAGATTTGGTCCAATTAGGTGGCGATTCTTTGAATCCGAATCGAATCGGAGGACCCTTTAATCTCTCCGAATTGAATCAATTCAGAGGGTTCTGATTCGGAGATTCGGACATAGACACAGCTTTAAAATGTTTTTTCTACATACCTCTAGGTAACAGGGACTCGTGAGTGCTGTGATGGTGGGGTGCACTCGGCAGCAGACCTGGAAGTGGACCAGAAGCACTTCCGATCCGCTTCCATATCCTTCGGAGAGTACATGGGAGTGCCCTCCCAGCTTGGTGACTGGTGCCTACTGGGTCTGGGGGGGCACCCGGGGTCCCTCTGTGGCTGATTGCTGAGCTGGGGGGGGCGGGCAGCTTGCTCCCTGGCAGCCCCGGAAGTGGACTGGAAGTAATTCCAGTCCACTTCTGGGTTTGTCGCTGAGCAAGCTCTTGCATCTAGTGGCTCCTCCTCTTCCTGCCCCTGCTGTCCAGCTCTAGGCAGCAGGTAGTGCAGAGAGGCTGTGGGGACAGGCACTGGGCAGCAGATGCCCAGCCAGGTGAAGGAGAAACTTCAGCTGGGTGACTCCCGTTCCAGCATGTGGGGCTCCAGCTGCAGCTCCCAGCTGCCTTTCATGCACTTCACCTTACTGGTGTGATGAGCAGCCATCTGTAGGCAGTTGAGTGGGTGGAAGGTATCTGGGAGCTGAAGCCCCACATGCTGGAGCAGGAGCTGCCTTGCTGCAGCTTCCTCACTTGTCTGGCTGGGCATCTGCTGCCTGGTGCGCCTCCCGATGGCTTCCCTCTGTTGCGCTGGAGGCTGGGGGACCTGAGTAGTACCTGGGTGACTGCGGCAGTAGTCCTGCCAGGAAGCTGTGCATGCTGGCCGGGGCCAGGACAGGAGCATGGCTCAAGCTGTCCCAAGTGGCAGTGGATAGGGCTCCACTCCAAAAGGAATGCTGTGGGGTGCAGCCACAGGCTGGGGCAGAACATATCTGCACCCTGGCCAAACAAGCTCTGTTGCATGTTCCCCTGCCCCTCCTTCCTCCCTTCCTTTGCCAGCTCCCAGGACCTAGCACATGCATAGCCCCCAGACACACATGCACCCCTCCCCCTATCACCACAATACATAAGAGTAAGACTTCCATTTTGAGCTATTATGCAGTTGCCTCTATCATTGGCAACGCATAGGAGGTGCACATGCACACCCTGAGGTTGGCGGTGCACCCCTGAGAAAAGCACTGCTGATGCTGCCGGCGGTGCCTGCGGGTGATTGCTGCTGGCTGCTGCTGATGCTGCCAGTGGCATCTGCGGGTGGTTGCATATCCTTACAGTTCAGAAGTTAAATGATCTAAAAACCACTTACAAAAACATACCATTTGCTCTTCTCTCAACAGTACATGTAAATGTCTTGCTACACTCAGTCTCTTCATTCAAGAACACAGACAGCAGCTTTTTCCTATTTTAGATTGCCTGTAAATAGAATGATTTTCCCCCCCTTTTAAAATACAAGTGAAATATTTCTCTCGTTTCCTAAAGATGAGGCTTTGTATACACACTTTTAAGCCCTTAAAAAAAAAAAAAAAACCCCAAAAAACCCAAGCAGAATCAGGATAATCTTTTTTTTAAAAATAAAAATATATTATAGTAGACACTTGATTTTTTTGGTATGTAATTTGTTTTTTTTTAATCTATAAATTTGTTAAAATGGTATCTTCTGTAAGATTGTGTATGTGGCCCTCAACAGCTCACTAAAACTCATTAAGTGGCCCGCCAGCCAAAATATTTG